TCAACATGATTAGCTCGTGTCCATTTTAATTAGTCGCACACACACACACACGCGTACATGCAGAGACACAGTCTCTTACACACAATGGCGAGTGGGAAAAACTTGTTAGCACGCTGTTCGCATACCACAGACAATTGTTCTGCTTCTGGACGTGTGAGCTGCTTAGATTAATGAACTCAGTCAGCCACAAAACTGGGCCATGTCCACGCCTACACCTGCTCACCTGTATGCCGCTTATCAGTTTGACCGTTCGCTCATGCACCAATAGCATAGAACAAGGAGCAGCTGGCAGCATGTGTCTATATTAAAGTCTGATACTGTCACAGACTCATAATTTTGAACGTACATTTTCGGTTTAATCGCAGAAAAGCCCCGAAATAATCCACAAAGAGCCCAAAAGTTGCACTCGGATGAATATTATAAAAATAAAAACACATAAATAGCGCCTAAGTGTGCCATAGATAAACTCTTAGACACAGACAGTCCCTTATACAAACACAAAGCGCCCACCCACTCTTCGCTCGCTTCGTGGCGGTCGCGTTGCTGTCTGTGTGGAAGACGCAGACAAATTATGGACAAATTACGTCGACCTGGAAATGAGCAACGGCCATGTCGCGGCCATGGAGCTCCTGGTTCATTATATGCGCCGCAATAGATGCGCCCTTATTGTCGCCACCCTCGCCCAGCAGACACCAGACACCAGCCGCCACCTCGCCACTCATTTCCCCTAGCTGTGCGTTTAGCGTTTGTCGACTGTTTGGCTTTGGCTTTGGTCTGGCTATATTTAAACCGGAGGAAGTCAGTGCCAGGACGTTGCTGAGCCGGCTGGTTAGCTATATTTTTTCCACTCATATGTGCGTTTGTCTGTACTCGAGCCTGTGTGCTGGTATACGTGTGCAGGCCTGTGCCCGTGGTGGCCTTTTTTTCCGCAACCATTTCCGGTCGTTTGTCGCCATTTTTATAATGCGTCCCTTTCCCGCTGGCAAGTTGTTGATTTCATTGCGTTTTTTCAACCCCCTTCTCAATAACCATCCTCCACCACCCACTGACAGTTACTTTTTAATTTAACAACATTGCTCATATATAGGTCGCTCTCGCGCTTAATATTAAAAATACATTTTAACATACATTTCTGCAGTGCATCATGTGACACAAATAAAAATTAATAAAACTGAAAAATTTCGAACGAACGATTTCGGTATTTTACCATTTTTTCGCGTTGGGCACATTTTTTTTTTCTATTATTTAGTGAAATTCACTTGAGCGTGCAGTCAAAATGAATGGGGGCGTGGGCAGGCTGGGCAGGCAGCTCGCAGCAACGGATAAGCCTTGTCGGCCTTTTGCCGGAAATTGAGGCAGCGGCGAAAAAGCGAGCAAAGGGAAATTGTTTCAACTGCAGCTGCAGGTGCAACATTCGCAGCTGAGTTTCGGATTTTTTCCCCTTTCTTTGGACAAAATGCTTAAGTTGTGTCCATGGCGCGAGGGCGTTGTAAATATAAAACATGAAATATTTAAGAGACATGCTTTTAAAATGTTGCTGAAAATTGTATGCTTTCGGCTGCAGGCAATGCGGGCTGAATTTAATTGAAGTGGCCCCAAGGGTGGACTCTTTTGTTGCAGCAACTTTAACGAAGAAATTCTTTGAAAGGGAATCAATAAATAAGTCCCTTGCAGTTTCTTGTACATTTATCAAATTAATTAAATATATAAGTTAATTTATGTAACTGATTGAGTTTCAATAAATAGTTTTGAGGCTCAAAAGTAAGGAATGAATGTAAAAATATTGTCTTTTTGTAAGAAACTTAAGGAAATACAAAACAGAAATGTCGGATATTAATTTAATTAATTAGTTTAATTTAAATTTTATTGAAAACAATTTTTAAAAATTAATTGAAACAATGCATTAATAAAAGATACAAAAAATACCCTGTATTTCAATTATCCTGACTTTTATTTATAACTGTCACTATGTTGATTTAAAACTCAAAAAAAGCTTTACAAAAAATATATTGCATGCAAATGAAATGGAAAGGAACCCAGCGTAGGGATCTACGAAAAGCAAAACCACAACAAGACAACGTCACGAGCACGACAAACCAATGACAAATCGCAACATTTGTCAGCTTGAAAAGCATGTCAAGTGACTAAATTACCGTTGTATTCCAGCTTGTGTGTCTCGCTGGCACACACAACCACCCTCTTCCTCTTGCTTATTGATTTCGCAATTTTTCAAAAATGTTCCTTGGCTTTTCTATGCTTCGCTGTTCCACATAGTCACTTTTTGCATTACCATGTCGCTGACTTTGCTTTGTTATAAAACTCAACCGCAATTCATTTGAATTCAATTGTCAAACGGCTAACAACAAAGCTAAACTCTGTGCGGGCGTGTGTGAGTGTGTACGTGTGAGCTGCGTGTGTATGTTGCACTTCCGGCATGCCTGCTGGCATATAAAAGCCATAGCAGCTGTGCTGCTGGCGCCCTGGCTAAAGGTCTTGCATTATGCATTTTGTTAGCAAAATTTAATGTGATTTAGAAGTTGAGGCAGACATAGAGTAGTAGAAAGAGATGCCAACATATCATAGTCAAAATGCTCGAGGGGTCATGAACTAAGTTTATTGTGCACATTTAAATGAAATTGCTGCGCTCAATTTATGCGCTAAACGCCAAGAGGCATTCACAAGCACTAGCAGGCATTCACAAAACACTCACAGATATTCACTGGCAGGCAGGCAAGCGACTTCATGGCAACAGCAAAAACTACCATTGAAGCAGCAGCAAGAACATTCACCCGATTCCACTAGACTCGCTGCTCATTCATTTCGATTCGCTACATTTGTTTTTTGTTATATTTTTGTTTTATTGTTAGTCGGCGCACTCGTCGCAATAGTTTTATGAATATCGCTTTGGTTTTAAGTTGTTTTTGCTATTGTTGTTTGTTAGTCGGTTTGGCTGAAATGTGTGCATATTGTTGGCATAATTGAATGGTTTTTGCTGTCACCAAGTTGGCTACGTTTTTTGCGAACCTGGGCAAAAGTGTGCTGTGACATTTGTTGGCTCTTTAATAGGTGGTTCGAATGCAATGGGTTCAGTGACTTTAATTTATTTAGAAAAATACCAAGCAGGTGAATAGAATCTTTCATGTGCATGTGGTGTGAAATTTTTGTAAAATAATATTATTCTTTCCGTTGTTCCCTTTTTCTAGCTTCCCCTTTTCTAGTTCCCTTGAGATTTACCAGAACTTATCAGGTTCCAAGTGCTTCATTTTTCTCTAGTTTGGTAGAGCTTTGTCAGCCTCAATTAAAGCGACATTCGTGGAGTTAATTAAGAATCCCTCCAATTTTTTATTGAATTAATTAAATTTTATTTCACTCCTACGTTAAAAGTTTTAGTCTCCGGCTGTACTTTGACATTTTCAAAAGCCATCAAAACTCCTGCAGATTTATAGCTATGTTTCTATCGTTTATAATTAAATCAAAAATAAAATGAATAACTAGTAACTATCTTTCTCTCGTTTATAATTAAATCAAAAATAAAATGGGTTACTTTCTTGGGAATCTCGAAAATAATCTTTGCTTAATTATCCTTTGCTTTTGAAGTGAAAAGCAGCTGTTAATCGCCTCGGTGCTTGCGCTTATCTTTTTAATCATTATATTTTGTGGCTTTGGTTGAACTTTTGCTCTAGAAGTTCGTACTAGGAGCAGAAAGTAGCACTAGTTTGACACTAGTTAGCAACTAACAACTACTTAGCCGCAAGTTCGCAGCTTTTCGCAATCTCTCTCAATAAACACTTGCACAGCTCTTAATTACCCAATGCAAACTTAGTCACGGCAACAAGCTGTGTACTGGGGCACTGGGTTGGGTTCCCACCTGACGATGCTTGATGCCAGCTGAAATTTGGGGCTGAGAACTTGGGGGTTGCGACGTGGCAGTCACTGGAATGTCATGCAAGTTTATCAGCTTGTTCGAGCTGCGCGTTAAACAAAAAACGTGGCGAAACTTTCAAGTCAAAGTTTTCATGACTCCTTTGACAATAACCTGTATTTGGCAAGTAGAGCCTGTCAGGTCGCAAGAATATATAGAAGCTATATATATATTTATATGTGGTTTATATAGAGGTAAATATTTCTCTACATATCTGAACACAATTTCAACCTATTGACATTTCGATTGCGTATGTCTGGGATAACTTCATCTGGCATGTTAACGTGGCACGTGCGACCTCACAGCCTGCTCCTTCCCTACGATTTACTCAATTAATACGCTGTGCAAAAGTTTTTTTGGGCTATTTAATTTGGCGAGCCGCATCCTGCGCTTGTACATAATTTACAAGATTTGTGTGCGATGCCGGACGGGTCTAATCCATCATTATTGATTGGCATAAGTTTTTTCCCTCTCCCTCTACTCACTAGCATTACATAATGACCAGTCATTTATATATAGACAAATTCTCGAGAGAAACTAGATGAATTTCGGTACTAACCACATAAATATTTTTATCTCTTTTAATTGCAGTAGTGGACCGTTGAACGACATTTGAAGGCATTGTGGCAAGCAAATTTCCAGTGTCAACATGGTGAAAGGATTAGAAATGAAATTTTAGGCAGCTTCTATTGCAAGTGATCACAGCGTACAAAAAGCAGCACGTGCGCGATTTACTTTAAATATTCATAAGCACACATACAAAATACACTCAAACACACTCACTCCGAGTGCGAGTGTGAATGAGAGAAAGGGGCGTGCCACTAAAGTTGTTTCGACGCCTCGTCAAATTCTATTAAAAATTCATCTTAACGGTTATGTGTTTTGACAAAAAATAACAGGAACAAAACAAACACAACATAAAGAACGAACAACAACATCAGCTGAAAAGGGGCGACTGTTTGTAAATATTTAAATGAATTTATGAGCAGCGCAAAAGTTTTTAATTAAGTGAAAAAAATTAAAGCAACAACAAAAAGGATTCAAGCCAAAGAAAATAAAATATATAAAATAACACCACGAACAGCAACAACCACGTGCACGAATATTGTCACTAAGCACACACGCAAAAAGCCAGCAAATCATTTGGCCCATATGTGTGAGTGTGTATGTACGTGTGTGTGCATATTTGAAATGATGTTCGCATAAAGCGAAGCAAATTTATTTGAATTTTTTATGCCCATGTAGCCGCTCTCTACCTATACAGAACATACCACATACATAGAGAATTTACGTGTTACATTTTCAATTGCCATTTGGCACAGTCAGAAAAAAGGAAGCCGAAACAAAATGGGGTCCAACATGAAGCAGCAACTGAAATGCACACCGTTCATTTTATGCCTCATCATTGGCACCCTGTACCTAACCGGGACCGAGACACACGAGCATGTCGATGGGTATAAGCCAGGTAAGCACACGGAATACCTATTATATTCTGTACGGAGTATCTTTAAAGTAGACATTAAAATGCAGTTACTTGACTAGATTTTGGCTGAGATTCTTTTATTAGGATTGTGCTTTAGTAATTAAAACAGGGGTATTCAAAAACAAATACATTTTTTCAGAAAAATCCCAAAAACCTGTATGACAATTTCGTTTTCAATTTAAATACTACATAAATATTTAATTTTTATTTTGTGTTATTAAATATTTATTCATCAATTTGTTAAACATTATTATTTTCCCGTTATCCCAGCTATTATAGCTTTAAAATTAAAAATTTTTTCTCCTGAAACATTGTTTATACCCTGCTTCGAAGAAACGGGCACACATGGGTGTATATATATATATATATATGTATATAAGTATATATATATATATCATATAAATACCAGTTCTTACTACCAGTAGCATTTAGTATAATCACAGTCTTTGAGTTTAGTTTAGAGACAAAAAAACTGGAATGTAGGGTGTTACTAACTGCTGATAACTGCCTCAGTTAGGACAGGTATTACAGGTATAAGATTGTGTTAAAATCACAAACTGCATCTCTAACGATGGAATATAAAATTATTCTGGACTTACACTCTCGATTCTCACACGCCACATACATCTTAATACGTTATCATATTTACAACATTTTAATAAAAACTATTTACTTAAATTTTTTTACATTTGATTGTTTTTGTTTTTAATTAAATTATAGTATTTACATAGCTTGAGTATTTATCCATTGAGTTTCATTTTAAATTTGTGAGTGGCGTATTTTTTAAATTTTTCGGTCTTCCTTTGGCTGAGAGTAAAAGCTGTGAGCATTTAGCATATTAATTTTAATTATGCAGCAGAATCATAAAATTTTAATTGCTCATTTGAAACTTTGCTTGAAGTCTTTTTGCTTGCCAAACTCTAGAAGATTATGTGGCAGAAGCCCGGCAAGCTGTTAAAACAACAAAATATTGAAATACATAAGTGGACGTCATGCGCTTAATCGACTATAAAACCAAAACTTTTTAATTCAACAGAATAAGTTAATATCTTGTATCATAACTGAGCTAACTAGTTAGATTGTATTTTATATAAACAAATAAAATTAAAATTTGTATATTTGCGCGCATATATGAGGATGGAATAGACACTCGAGTTTCTCGGAATAAATAGTTGTCTCTTAGCCTTAAAAATATATAATAAATAAAAATGTTAATACTAGTGCATGTTTACAAACTAATTAAGCTATGATAGGTCTGCTTTTATTTCGATTCGATTTTCGCTTCGAGTTTTTCTCTTTCATTAAAAGTTGTGTGCTAGCCTCAATAATTCGCATGCATAGGAATATGTATATAATTTCTTTATGTATTTTTCTTTGCCAGCAATTCTTCGAATTTGCAATATTACCTTTTCCATAATTGAAATACCATTTCTCAATTTAAAAATTCTGCGCATTCCATGTACATGTAAGCTGCACTAAATTGTTGGTAGGTGCTATTGAATGCAGCATTTAACTGCATTTTATAGTGCAGTGAAGTACAAAGTTTTTTATTGACAGTGCTTAAAAATGTGGCAATAATTGTGTTGTTCACTTTTGTGTGTGTGTGTGTTTCAATAAACCAAAGTTGAGCTGCGCGAAAATGTTAAATTAATAAATATAAAATTATGCAATTTATACAACTTCATTATTTACTTTTTTCAAGAGGAGACATGTGCGTCACGCTTGTTTATGGCTCTTGTTGCTATTGTTTTTTCTTATTTATTTATATTTTTTGTTCCGCAGTCACAAATCCAAAGCGTCACCTGCGTCACCTGCTTCATTGAGCGCCCATTGGGCTGGGCCACGCCCCTTTGGCCATATCCCTGCGGTAACTACTTTTCCGAGCTGCATAAATTCTCATTTTTATGTGTCTGCGTTGGACTTTACATTAGCTGCTGCTGCTGCTGACTGTTGTTGTTGCTGTTGCTGCTGATTATCCCCAGAGTGCTATATAAAAATTTGTGCTCGCATTTTGCTGTTGATCTCTTATTTTCGTTGCATGTATAAATTTATTGCGCTGTACACATTTTGCAGCGTCCAGGGAATTTATAAAATGAAATGAAGTAAAGAAAATTGAGTTGACCAAATAATTTTATATAGAGCGGACGTATAAATAAAATGTACATTGCTGTTGTTCTCATATATGTATTTCACAGAGTATTAGTTGAGCCTGCACAAAACAGCTGCGCATTTGACAGATCTGGAAAAAAGCTTTAATTTCATTACACAGCGCTCGTAGCTCGAGCGCTTACATAATAATTAGTTAAATAAATTTCACCTAAATACACAGAAACGCGGAATAGACCCAGAGGAAGCGTGTGCCACGGCAAAGAGTAAACACAAGCATAGCTGGGCTAGGCAAACAGGTAACCAACGTCGAGGGTATCCCTGGGCAAAAACGTGCAGCAAATGGCCACATCAAAAGCACGTTCGGGCTCAACTTTGAGTTTGCTTTAAGTCTTCAACGTTTGCAAATTATTTTCCATCATTTTTCACGCAAAAAGCGCACAAATTTTGCGTTTGCAGATACCAGTACAGAAACGGTGTGTAGAGGAGGGCTGAGTGGGTTAGAGAGAAAGACGTAAACGTCGACAGAGACACGACGTTCTTGTCAACAGCGTCGATGTCAGTGTCCATGTCGCTGGTATGGCGCGCCGCCGGCCGGCTGGGTAGGACAGCAGCTGGCAGCTCTAAGAAGACACGCTCTAAATGAAATCTAATTAAAGTATGCACTAAACGTACAGCCGGCGTTGCAGTTGAAGTTGCAACACATTTAAAATACTTCACATGCAATGACTTTTTCCCTGGCTTTTCCTATTTAAACTGAGGAAATTATTAAATAATTAATAAGTTTCAGTTCGTACTAGCTGTACTATTTATTTACTTTTAATTTAGACTTATTTTAGAATTTATTGTTGCTAACTAAATAAATTTCAAAGAAACTTTCGAAAATATATATAGATGGCAAAGCAATTATTGTTAGTAGCAATTGTGTCATATTAAAATTTCGATAAAAACAATAAAATTATCGAAAGCTGTACCAGGATTGTGCCTTCAAGTATCCAATCAAAAACAAAAAGAAGTTCAAAGAGAAAAGGCAGAATAATTTGACAAAATAATGTTGGAGTAAGTCTTAAGATTGAATTTAATTCATATTATTTTTATACCCTGAACCCATTAAAAATGGGCAAAAATGGTAAAATGTGTTTGTACGAATGTATGTGGCAGGTAGAAGGAAGCATCTCTGACCCCATAAAGTATATATATTCTTGATCAGCATTAACAGCCGAGTCAATCTAGCCATGTCCGTCTGTCCGTCCGTCCGTCCATCTGTCCGTATGTATGACGAACCTATAAGAGCTAGAGACTTGCAATTTTAAATATTGAGAACTAGAGTCATCAAACTCGATGTAATGCTACTACTTTATTATAAATATATCAAGTATCCTATCCTTCTTACCTATCGCCACCTCCCCGCTGTCACCTCATAGCTATAAATCAAGTTAATAACCAAATTTGTATTGCTCACCAACTAAAGCCGCAAATGCATCTGACTTTTTGAGAATACACAATTATTCTATGGTACAATAAGATCTACTGTAGAAAATTTCATTCAGATCGGTTAAAAAACACCCAAAAGTTATGTGCTCTGACTGGGCACGTGTTTGCGGCAGCTAGTGCAAATTCCCAGAATTTCTGTTTCCATGTACACACACACATTTATGCGCGTCTGCTTTGAATGCTATCAACAGCATTGCAATTGCGATTGTTTTCTGTGCTGCTATTTTAATTCGTTTTTTTCTCAATAAAACTCAATTATACACAGAGAGAAAAAATCCAGAATTGCGTACTTGAATCAAGTAAGCCCGATCATGAAAGTACGGCAAGACCGGTAATACTTAATTCAAGTAGGAAATTCTTATTTCAAGTATAACTTTTAAAGAACGAAAATACTTAAATCAAGCATTTTTTGTTACATTTTTCAGCCTTATCACGCTAAATTTAAGAACAGAACGGTATAGAATCAAGTTTAATTGATTCTTAGTATACGACCAATAAGTTTCGTATTACAATCCCAGCTTGATCTTAAAATAACCTGAACCTTGTATAAATCTTTAGTCAAGAACTCACGAACTTAAACCTTCTCAATTTGTCAACCAAAAAATTTGTATTAATCACATTTTGATCTTTAAGTAATATCTATTTGGTCTTTAAACAAATTGTTTTGATCATTTTTCAAGCATACCTTAACCGTGGTGGTAGATTAATTTATTCTTGAAACAAGTCCCAATCAGTCCTGAACTTAACTCCCATACTTAAATTAAGAACAAAGTATACTTATTTTTATTCTTAATTAATATTAGTTGTTCACAAGTTATACCTTAATATTACAAACTCTGAGAAGAAAAGTCAACGTACGATTTGTTTAAATAAATGTTAAAATAGTGGAAATGTATTTCTCACCTTGTTTAAGACCATTCGTCCATGATAATCCACTTCTGGCGTAGAGTCTAGTTGTTTCGATAAATTTGATGGCATGGAACATAATGTTTCATCATCTATTCAAAACTATAAATAAATGTAATTATTAAATTGCAAAATTAAAAGAACATACCATGAATTGTATATTCATATATTATTAATTATATTATGTATAATATGTGAATATATGTGAATATTATTATGTTACAGAATTTATTAATATATTTATTATTAAATTATTTATATTTTATTATACATAAATGTACACAATTATTACCTCGATTTGTCTCCACAAGAACAACTTTTCTCGTAAGTCAATTTTGTGTCGCTTCCTTAAAATCGTCACGTTCATTTTCAGAGAAGCGTAAAAATCGACGCCGATATACTTGCATACACAACACACATGCCGTTGCATCCATATATGTATGTACATATATGGTATGTATGTATGTAGTATTGCAAGCGACACGGTGGCGTTTTTGCTAATTCTAGCCCGACTAATTTCGTCATTATGTGTGTACACACACTTTACATGTGTATGTGTCCATATAATATTCATACAATATGTATGGAAATTCTCTCTCAATTTTTTTCTCTCTTCTGCTTTGCTTCAATAATTTTAAATTTTGAATTAACTTTTATTCTTCTTAATTTTTTACATTAAGTACAAAAACTACTTAAAATAACTTTTTTGTACTGGATTGAAAAATATTAGGACTCATTTTAAGACCTTTCAGAGCTTATCTTAAGTTAAGTACGAATTATACTTAACTCAAGAATTTTTAGCTTGATTGGGGCTCGAAACGTTACCAATTTTTCGGTACAGAATCATTACGAAAAGTGTTCGTTAGCCCACCGTCCTACTCTCTGTGTATGTGTGGATTTTGAGTAGAGGCAGTGGCAAGTAGTGCGGTCTGTCGCGAATTCGAACCCTACCGGGAAAACCATTTTTTTATACCGTGAACCCATTAAAAATGGGTATAAGGGTATATTGTATTTGTGCAAAATCCAAATGTATGTAACAGACAGAAGGAAGCATCTTCGACCCCATAAAGTATATTTATTTAGATGAAGGCGCTCCTAGTGCTTGCGCAGATCGAAATTTTTCCAAAAATCGATAACTTACTCCGCTTCCAAGCAATCGATAAAAATCGATATCGATATCCTGTGTTTTGGACAATTTTGGTTAATAATAACAGCTAGAGTCACCAAACTTGACATATAGCTTCTAAAATAGAATATATATATGCATTTGATGTTGGAAGAAGAGGGTTCAGGGTATCCCCTAGTCGGGAGCTCCCGACTAGAACCTCTTACTTGTTTTTTTTTTTGGCTGGTGTGGCTGCTGGGTAGAGTCGGCAGCAAGTAATGCGGTCAGTTGAAGTTCGAACCCTGCCAATAGAACTTTTGCTTTTTAATTTATATTTATTACTTTAAACGAGCGCGTAGCACGTGCTGCTGAAGCAGAGGGTTCAAGGTATTCCCTAGTCGGGAGCTCCCGACTTGAGCCTCCTACTTGTTTATTTGTTTGTATATTTTATAGTTTTCATTCAAATAAAAAAGGGCATCCTCAAAGTTAGGCGGCTGTTTAAGAAATATAAAAACTATCATCAAATGATTGTGCAACAATCAAAAATAAAATGATTTAAAGTTGTATCCTTTATGTATCCGTCATTCACACTCAGTCTCATAGGAAGATGAATGTTGACCACATCAATTTGAAATGTTTTAAGCAAACCGAATTCCACAGAAAATTGCTCACACAGCGACAGTCTATAGATAGATTGGGATAGGGATAGCTATAGCTATAGCTGTAGAGACTACCTGGGGCAGCTGGCATAACATGCGATTTCTAATTCAATTTCGGTGACAGCACATAAATAAAAGAAACATTTTAGAGTTGAAGTAGCAGCCAAAAGCAGCGCAAACGAACCAAAAACTGTAAAAGCAATTCCTTGACAAAATAAAAGGCGCACAAATGTCACATTTCCCAGGCCAAATACGACCACAACTACAAAATGTGGTACAGCATGAAGAGTAAAAGAAGAAGAGAATTGCGGCGAATCGTATACCAATTTTCTGACTGCTGCAAATCAAACAAACACTAAAAAGAAAAGAAAAAAAAAATTGAAAATACAAAAAGCAAGAAACAGAATCAGCAGCAGAAGCAGTCGAAAAACTTTTTAAATTAACTAAAAAAACACACACACATACTGAAATAGACACAGAAAGCGAATAAGAAAGATAGAAAGAGAGAGAGAGAGAGAGAGAGAGAGAGAGAGGGAGAGATAGAGACAGAGCGAGAGAGACAGAGAGGGAGAAAGAGAGAATGAGTCAAAATAAGAACGCGAACGCGACACGTTGTCGCTGGTGTTGGCATTTGGTTTGAGTATTTTAGAGGAAAGTGGAAAACTTTTAGTGGCATGTTTACAAAATAAACTTCAACTTGCAGAACGACATAAAAGAGAAAGAGACGAAAAAACATAAATAAAAAAAAAACTGATTGGTACGAAAAAAAGATGACAGTATTGGGGCCGGTTCTTAGCCAAGTCAGCCCCATTATTATTATATATGGGATAACGACTATGACGGTCATCCGTTGACACATATTTTCGTTGCAAGGTAAGACACACACATACACTCACAACCCACACCCACACACCCGCTGCGAAAAAGTTGTTTGGCAACTTTTGTTTGGTTTGTTGTCATTGTGGACCAAAAAAAAGTTGTGTTTTGTTTTGTTGCGCTGTCGCTGCTGCTTTTTGTGCTGACAGTTGGCAAACAAAGCATAATTTTTAATCTGAATCTGGCCATGCAAACATTGTTACATATGCCAACGACACATACACACACCTTCACATACACACATGTACACCTGCTGGCACACCTGCAACGGCTTTTAGCCTGATTATTAACTACCGACAAAAAAATGATGTTTACTTGGCATTGGCTGCGATTCGCCAAAAACATTTTCGCAGCATCCTACAAATGGCACATACGCTGCGTGCGCCACCCATACTCACTCAATAATTTTGGACTTTGTTTTTTTTTTTCGAGCAAACGATACGTGACAATATCATCAAGTGAACACCTTTTCTGCGAGACTACTGCTGCGTGTTTGTTGATTTTACATATAATATAGTTTTCGTGGAACTTTCACGTATTTTAACAGTTTAAGGCTTGTCACATAAATCAGGCATGGACCATAAATTCTGCTCGGCCCAACAGTTGCAATTTTCTAAAATATTTATTTATTGAATATGCTATGCGACAATTAATATCGCTATTTTAAAGATTATGTAATAAATTCCGTACAAAGAATCATAATAAAGAAGGACGTGCTAAAATAGACGTTTAGCACGTCCGGAAGGAATTATTTTTATATATTCAATTGGCCTCTTAAGCTTGACTGATGCCAGTCAGTTAAAAATA